GTGTTTCAAGCGTTGCAGACAGCTCGAGGACGAGCCTTGCGCGTGGCCGAGCGATGTCAACAATACGTAGCAAGACCAGATGGTACAGCTTCTGTTCTAGCTTCTCCTTGGGCGAACACAGGTGCTGCCCGGCTTTCTCACTTCACACGGGAATAAACATCCGCCCTCCAAGGAAACCATCGCTGAAAAGGACACGTTCGAAAGACGGAGGGAGAGACATGCGGCAGACAGCCCAAGCCATACAGTGTCCAGCTCCACTACCCCGTCCTCGACCCAAGGACATGGGGGTCTCTCGAGGGGTCTAACATCTATCTTCAACAATAAACCAGCAAGCTAAGATACCTTTCATTGACCCGCCCATGTGCGTGTATTATGTATGTATGTATGTATGTATATATATATATATATATATATATATATATATATATATATATATATATATATATGTATGTGTGTGTGTATATCTGCATATATATGCATATATATATACATATATATGTATAAGTATATATATATATATATATATATATATATATATATATATATATATATATATATATATTATGTGTGTGTATAATATTACTGCAAATGCTTGTAACAAAGGAATAAATTTCCCGGCATTTCTTGAAAAAGTCATATTTTAGAATAATCATCAGTTGCCACAAGACTTTTCAAGGTATATTGCAGGTTGCCATGAAGTAAACTGTGGAAGTTGTTGCTGTAACTTTAGCAGCCCCTTCATTTGTTGTCAATGCTAACACTGACGTTGGTAAAATTGGTGCAGGTTCTGAAACTGAGGCTGGTCAAAACAGAAAAAAAAACTAACTTGCTTATCCTTGTTTGAGAAGTTACACCCTAAGACATCATTGTTCTGTTTGATATTTGTAAGGTCTCTTTCCATATTACAGCAAGTGCCATGAGCAAACATTGACTGAATTTTCTCGTTAAAGATTTCACACATTTCCCCTTCCTTAGCATAAACAGTTTTCGTCTTTGATGGCAATAAATTAATCTCAACTTTTAGTCTTACTACAAGGGAAGCCTGTTTCTCTCATAGTTTGAGCATACTCGTTCTTCCGATTTATACCATACACTGTTTGAGATCTGTCTTTTACAGTTTCCTTTAGGAGCTGATTATTTTTTCTCATCTTCCATTTTTACTAAACCACGCTTGGGCTCCCTACGGACTGTGGAAGATTTTGAATGTCACACATCAATTTTCTGTTCCCCTTGGTTCGTTTCCCAGTTTATGTGGTTACCTCTCCTGTAAATGCACTCCCCCCTTCTTTCCTTACTTACTTTATTCTTTAGTAAGCAGTATTTTAGTTAATTACTGTATAATCTCAATATACTAAAGGGAGATAGTATTCCATATCCTTTTTATCGTCAAGCGTCGACGGCCCGTCTAGCCCTCTGACCCGGGATGTTCACCCTGTGTGTGTGTGTTACATATTTATGAAAGTCATCATGTACATGAACCGTCTCCAGACTCATCGGGTTCTCACAGGTACCGCACTCTACCCACGACGGGCATCGAAGTAGACGTGACATGCAGAGACAACCGCACGGGCGACATCGACAGGGTGTCGATGTTGGCGCCCCTGGAGTCGCCGCGGGTCCTCTACCATCACCCGGTGGCGGGCAATAGACCCATCAACATCATCATGCCACTCAAGGGCCGGCCTGACAACCTCCAGGTTGTTCACAAAAGAACCTTTTCTTTCTAGCCAGGGACCTTTATTGAATGGGTTAGAAGATGGAAGGAAAAAAATGCAGTGAGAAATAGAATCATGATGAGAAAGATAACAAAATAACAACAAAGGAATATTTCAAATGCCCGCAAAATGATATACATTCTAAACTGATATTTAAAGTCTTGTCAATAATTCTCAACATTTGATCACATAAAATCAAACAAAAAACACGCAGTGAGAAACGGGACTTGAGTAGGACCTGAAACACCCGTTTACACCCATACCCTCCCTCCCTCAGATCTTCATGCAGAACCTGGCCAGCATCCTATCGAAGGACAACCGCCTCTCCGTCGGCCTCACGGTCGTCTACTTCAGAGACGACGACCAGCAGGAGTGTCAACGCATCCTTCAAAAAGCCGAGAAATCATTCCCGAATCTCAAGACAGAGTTCATCCTCCAGGAGGGACCGTTCTCGCGAGGGCGCGGGCTCCAGGTGGGCGTGGAAAAGACGACGCTGAGGGCGGAAGTTGTCTTCTTCTGTGACGTCGATGTTCTCTTCACGAAGGAGTTCCTGATGAGGTGTCAGTCGACGCCCGTGGAAGGATACCAGGTGAGGGGGGGGGTTATCAATATGATAACATGATTAATGATGATAATGCTCAGCATACTGATGTTCAATCAGTAAGAATAATAGGAGTGATGATGAGGAGGACGACGATATCATCCAAACTGACTCAGATATTTTACAGGTGTTCTTCCCCATGGTGTTCTCGCTGTACAACCCCGAGTTCATATACCCTCTGCATAAACACCGAATTCCGCCGCCTCTTCACCAGCTGGAGGTCAAGGATAACAATGGCTACTGGCGTGTGTGGGGTCACGGTAGGTCATGGACGGAGGGAGAACAGTGATTTCATTGCCAAGTGTAAAAGTCAGTCATTTGAGAACATTTGCGAGTCGGGGAATGACAGTTCACTGAGAATTAGTAAAGATAATCAGTGACTGAATAAATGCCGGATAACCTTAAAATATGTGGATACAAGAAATAATTGCAAATTTGAAGTATAAAAATGGATTTTATGATTCAAAAAATCAGTGTGAATGATAAAGATACTTCACATCTCGTTATCACAATCATCCTCATTGAAATTGCAAAGTATTAGAAAGATTTTTCTTAAATATGTATGCGTGTATACAGTACTAAGCTCTATCTTAAACCTTTTTCACCCCAGAAGTTATGTTGGTATTGCTTTGTAAAGTACCTAGTGAACATCCTAAAACACCCTTAGATCTATACTGTTTTCGAGCCAATGGCTGCTTTTGATGCTGTAAACAAAGTAGTCATTTTTTGAGCAGCTGAAACACGCCGTTATCTATCAGACGGATTGCGCGTGCTCTTGCAATGAATTCCCATGCTCATCGTTCTAAACTCGGTACTTGCTTAGTAACATACGAAATTATACTAGAAGTCGCATAAGGGATGACGGATTCGATCGTTTGCTGTGCGAGTGTCTATGGATTTGGGATTGGCGAAAGGAGGGCATACAAAAGCGAATTTTGATATTCTCCCATAGAGGCAGCTGGATAATAATAACCGCTTTCGAAAAATAAATATGGCAGTAAATCACAACGCTCTTATCTCTACTTCTTTCTGCATTTAAGGACACCAACCCAGACCTCAGTCACCAGGCCAGACACCTCGCAGGAACCTCGACTTTATTAATAATAGCAGCTTAAAGACTGAAGCCTCTTCGGATGTTTATATGCATAAATTATGGGATCAGTGGTTCTTTCTAAGACCATAGACCAGGCAATGAAGCCATGCGAATCATCTATAGAGTGTCTGCAGAAATGTTTGTAAACCTGCGTATAGAACAAAACTTGTCATCTATTCGTTACAGAATATTATCACTTGAATTACAGCCCTGCAGACACATCCAATCTTTATGTCTGACAAAGGAAACTAACAGTAAGAATCGAACAATCACACCTGTGACAGTTCACATTTACATTCTATTGCATAAAAAAGATAGATAAGGTCTCGTAAAAGTAAGGTCCTAATATAATTGTGCGTATATAAATTTACCCCGAAACATAGTGTTTCTATTGGCCAATTAACCAGTACCTCCTTTATACTATCAGTGACTATCTTGACTACTTAGCGGGCCTTTGGGGATGCTTCACTGATAGATCCTCCAGTCTGGGAGCGAACCAGTTAGCGCCTACGATTTATATAAGTATAATTCCCTGCAACATCACGGCAGGATGGCTTTGCTCTCACTACACCAACCGAATTGGCATGCGCCCTCAGGGCAATTCAGTACCTAAGTGTCATTGGTCCACGGCTGTTTTGTGACGCACGTAGCGCTCTCCTGCAAATGATGGTGTCACTGATATTTCTAATAAATGTCACTCGCTCGATGAAGCATAATTCCACGGGTTACTTTGCGGGAATACTTCCGTATGCTGCTATACTTAAACATCATCATATTGATATGATCATCACAGTCATCATCATTGCAAATACTAATGTTAGTACCTACATCGTTATTATGGCTATCGTTATCATCATCACTGGTGCCTTTCTATGTGTACTCTTAGTATCTTCATTATGTTGCTGATATTATTGGCGTTGGTATTATCTTCATGATCAGCATTACAATTATCACCATCACAGTTGCTATCATTTATATTATCGTAGTTGATGTGATTATGATCATCGTTCTTGCTCCAACAACTATTGCCGTCACTGTAGCCAATACCATCATCATAATCGTTACGATTTGATCAATCTTGTTGTGAGTACTGTCATCATTATCGTTATCGCCATTAGCAGTAACATTACTTTTGTTGCCACCACGATTATTACCATTACTGTTATTATGACCACTGTCGTCATAAGCCTTCTTGCCGTCAGTGCTTTAATTATCGTTATGCTCATAATCACTACTATTACTACCCCCACCCTCATCTTTATTATTACCATTAACTAAATTATTTATATTATAGCTATCATAATTATCATCATCGCCGTCAACATTGTTATAAAAGCACTCCATTGTAATTGTTACTGTCATGAACATTATTGTAATGAAAAATGTCTCATTATCACTATCGCCACCATCACTATCATCCCATCACTAACACCGTTGCTCACTCAGATTCGCCGCTGGATTCAACTCGACACTACTAGCTATGTAGGTGCCTACTGCATTGGGCCATAATAATACTATTTTAGAATGCAGCTAATTCACCTATATAAAGCTTATCAATAATGTTAGTAGAATACACCGATTAACAATTGCA